TTTGTATTTATGCTATCAACTGTTTCATGCTATTCAGCACGTACGTGGTCAGTCAAACTATGCTTGTCACGCAGACGGAATATCAAGTGGTGGTCATTCGTAGGGTGTTCCTCATTCCCTTGTAGATCTGAAACGCTGCTACTTCCTGGTATGCTTGAAAGATTATGGAAGTCCTGAAACGAGAATAGCTCTGTGGATATTTTTCGTTTGTGTCTCACGTGTAAATAATACTATCACTCAGCGAAACAAAGAATTTCGTTGCGTGACTGTCGTAGTTTTCTCTGACACCGACTGTGTCACAGACATATCAGTCAAAAGCTGTCGAGAAAAAAGAAAAATATAAAAAGTAAAAATACTTAAAAAGTTTGTTCTTATAATTTTCTCTTTGCTATCTGTTGACGAGGGAGAAAAAACTCTAGCGATTTTCAAAAGTTTAGTGCGTGATTTGATAGTAATTATATTATTGCCCTCGATAACATTGTTTAAGAGCTAACCAGATGTGAATGCGGTTAGTTAGATAGGTGCACGGCAGATTTTGCGCTATTCTCGGGATGCTATATGAAAACCATTGTTTGCGAGATTCAAATATAATAAATATTGTGAATAAAGAACGGTGTGAATTTTCCTTAATTCAAAACATCACAACCGGTCGAACAAAGAGACGATTTTAATTTAAAGTCTTGCAACATTTTGAAGATTCTAGTAACTTAGCATAACTTTCTTCCAGAAAAGGAAGAAACAGATTTATTATTAAGTTTGTTTAAATTAATCTTACGAATGTGGGGTACCAAGCTCAGTATGGACTCTGGAAGGGTTGAAGTCTAGATTTTTCTCACTTCCACGAAGTAACAAAGGGAGGTTGATTATCATAATTCTATAGCGACCGAATCAGATCCCAGTTACGAAACAAAAAACACTGCTTATGTAATGATTTCACATGAAGGTCACCTGAATAATGTGTCAATGCCAGTGCGCGTGCACCAATCAGAGCGCGCGTTAGAATCACCCTCTTGACAATTAGACCAATCACGTGTAAGATTACATTGTTGACGCAATGTATAAATTCGAACTCGAGGTTTCCCTTGGTAGAAAATTCAAAATTCAATATATCAGCCGGTTGAAGCGCTGGTAGCCACTCAAGGGCGGTATAAGAAAGGGAGTGTTATAAAACTACTACTTGCCCTCTAGAATTCCCAAGTAATCTCGGAAAATGTCTTCTAGTACATCTGAAGAGGAAAGCATAGAATTTCTAAGACCTTATTTTACTAACCTAAAGCTCGTTGGGATCGGTGGAAGTGGCGCGGTCTACTCAGCGATTGATGTTAAAACGGACAAACGAGTGGCTTTGAAAAGGGCGAATCTACTGGACCAACTTAGTTGTAAAGGAGCATTACGGCAGATATCTGTCTACAAAAGACTACAGCATGAAAATATAGTTTCTTTAGAAAAAGTTGTTGGACCTGACGGACAAACGCTGGACAGCTCAACTAATTTTAAGGAATTTCAATATGTATTCCTCGTCCAAGAACTCGTTGACGCGGACTTGCACAGAATTCTTCAAAGCAATAAAACTATGTCTGAAGACTACATTAAACTATTTATATATCAGCTACTTCGTGGGTTGAAATATGTACATTCTGCTAACGTTATTCACAGGGACATCAAGCCTAGTAATATTCTAGTGGACACAGAAACGCTTCTTTTGAAAATCGGGGACTTTGGACTGACACGAGTTGTAGACCCAGACTACGAACACAAAGGTTTTTTAACTCATTGTCCTTCTACTCTATGGTACAGAGCTCCTGAGTTAATTCTTGAGCCTGATTCTTATTCTAATGCCATGGACATTTGGGGAGTTGGTTGCGTTTTTGCCGAGCTCTTACTGGGCAAACCCCTCTTCGAAGGAAGACACGAAATTGAACAAGTTCAAATGATTCTCGATACTGTGGGGACAGACGACAAAGAATTCTTTAAAATCAATTCTGATGCTCCTGAAGAGCTACTCAAGTCCATTACTGAAGGACCAAATTCATCTCTAGCGAGTAAACTTCCAGATTTGGACGCCAAAGGTAAGAATCGTTCTTTGTTGATTGTGATTAATATTGCGGTAGTTACGAATTGGCTTTCGTGACGTAACGTAAGAATATTTTAGCTATTTCCTTTCTAACGAGGAATTAGAATTTCAGGAAGCTATTTCCTTCGTCAGTATCATTTTCCGCGTTTATTTACTATCTCTTAATTTCCCTTTTCGAAGAAGGTTTTTYCCCGCGATGAATGGGTGTTCTATTCGGCCTACTGCAGGCGGTGATTAACATAGTCGTCGCGAAACAAAATTCATACAATTTTTGGAATTTTCCCCGACGTCTGGGGACGAAAATCTCAATTTGACCGCAAATTTGAAACATTTCGAACAACATTAAGCATTGTAAAACGTAAGATATGAAAGTCATTCCGTATGAAACTAAAAATGCGCGGTTTTATTTCCTTACCGAATTCACAGAAAAAGCGGAATCAGCGATGAAAAAGCATGAACAATATTCTATTTATAGGAACTGATTTACATGTCTTATTTTACTTTCGGGAAAAAATGTGTGTTTGTTTTTTCATTTCGATATGGGAATTTCCCGGAGGGGGATTTTGTAAGGCTGTACAGAAGGGAAAGTCGGTTGTTCTTAGTCACAGGAAATTGTAGTTTTACTATTGTTATAGTTGATTGACATGAACTTGGCCGTTACGCAAAACGCGTTGTTGACAGTCCGCCTACTCAAACCAGGAGATTAATGAGCGTTTCTTTTTAGGTTTTTACATTTCCTTAACATTATAGGATTTGCCTTAATCTCTCCGCTCTCCATACACTGTTTTTTTCCAGCTTTATATTGAATTTTTCGAGATTCCTGGAATGTGAAAACGCACAAAAAAATCAACCCACGCGATGACATAACATTTAAGCTATGAACCATCGCGTCAGTGCTATTTAAGCCCTACGAAAATCTTCGAGTTTCCGCAACTTTTTTTTTAATTTCGTGATCTGCGTTACAAATATACAACGGGCTTTGAATTTGCGGGATCGCTAAAACCAGTTTTGACTAACCCCGCTGCGCCATTATTTCGTGTACACGAATACTGAGTCAGAAAAAGTTTGTTTATATTGACGACCAGCCGTGTCAGAGTCTCCTATTGTTTGACCATCTTATGGGTTTCTTCGACCAGAATTTTGAATTTATCCAAATTAAGAAACAGGAATAGACGCTCATAAAAATTTGATTGATGTGACGCGCTTAGACCCAAAATTAATATTCTTTCTATTTTAAGATATCCAAAAAAAGCCTCTCGTACCGCGCGAAAAAATCCACAATTTTTTTTTTAATGTTAGGCAGGTTTTGGAGAATACATTAGTTCAGAATTAATTCAGATTACCGAAAGAAAATAATTCATATTTAAAGAAAATTCAATAAAGCGGCTTCATTTCCTTGCGGAGTTGTGTTTGACTATGGAATTGATTAGTACAAAAATACGTGTTTCTCATTGGATGAAAAATAAATGAATTATTTGCAAACTGTAATTTGAATTTGTAAGGTGAAGGCCAAGGCCGTATTTGTGATCAATAATTTCTGGGCATTTCTATCAGTTCTATATGTAATTAGACATTTTTAAAAGCCATGTTAAAAAATCTATTTTTTTAATCTATTTTTTTAAGAAACTAAAATAAGGTGTACTTCAGTTTTGAAAATGTGCATAAATTTTTCTTTTTCTTTTCACAGCTCTTGATCTACTAGAAAAAATGCTCAAGTTTTCCCCCAAGAATCGTATAACAGCAGAGGAAGCTCTAGCACATCCTTATCTACAATCTTACTCCCTGCCTTCTGATGAACCAATATCTCTACAGCCTTTGAACATTGAGGATGAAGTTGACGACTTTCCTGAAGACATTCTTAAGGATATGTTATATTCTGAATGTGTTTCTTGGCAAAACTCTGACGAGCCAAAGCTAAAGGATAGTATATCAGAAACTGAAGACAGCAGTGAACATGATATTTTGTCCTTGAAAGATATCATGAACGACAATGAAGAACCTGTCATAGTTGATCACATCATTAGTGGGAGTGCTTGTGAGATGAACATTAGTTCCTTCAAACTTCATCCTGAGTTGAGTGAATCATTTGGAGTTCAGAATACCAAAGAGGCAAGAGATACTCTGGCTGCAGCGATGAAGGTGTCCATGACACTTGATGAAGATACAAGTAACAGAGCTGACACAGATGAAGCAAAAAACTTCAAATCCCAGCAGAAAGCTGGGATTACACAAGTCGTGGAAACTTTTCTTGGTAGAGAATATCAAATGAATTTAGGATTTTCATGTAAAAAGACAAATGCAATCACTGGCCCATTTGGCCTGTGTTACTTATGACAAAACAAAATATAAGAATTGAGAATTTCATATAATATCCAAATCCAGACATTGGGATTTAGATGGAACTTATCTGCCATTGACTTTTTAAACAGATCTTTTTTATCATATATATTTATTTGTTACAAGCATCCTAGGTTTATTCAAGTGAAAAAAAAATTTATTTTAAAGAATTATAATTTTTTTAATAGGTCGTTTAAAACATTATTCTTTTCTCACAAACTCCATGGGAAAAATTATATATATATATGTACTATAATAGACAACAATATAAAATATTAAAGATGTTAACTGTATTTCTTCAGCTTCAGCAAATTTTGAATCCCACGTGGATCTTGGAATTGCTTCYGAGAAAAATGTGCTTTTGAAATACAGTTCACGTCTTTAAATGACTTTCCAAGCAAAAAATGTATTCACAAGTAAACATATGGAAAAATGTTTTCTGCTCTATTGAAAAGCTGTTATTAATATTATTCTTAATCTTGTTATTATGCTACAATCAAAATGTGTTTTGTGTTTAAGTTTTTGTCGCATTTTGATTTATGTTTCAAATGCTTAACACATTTTGAAAATGTACCTAAAATTCTTCTCTTTGCGGGTAACACTTTGTTTTAAAATTAGAAAAAAATTGTAAAAATGTTTCAAAGTTTTTTAATGTTTCTATTTAAGATAAGCAGCTGTAAAAAGCCATATTGGTGTAAGATTAAAAAAGCTAAAGTTGATTATACAAATCTTTCAAAATTAGAAAAAWATATATATTAGGTTATTTTTACTCTTAAATTGATGAAAAACATTGTATCTGACTGCAAAATATTTATTTATAAATAATGCGAAAATGTGCTTCAATAAAGTATGCTTCAAAATGTGAAAGTATCTCGCTTTTTCAAACATGCTCTGAATGTTTGCTACCTGTTGGGCTTCCTTTGTTCACCTTGGACCACAGGGACCCCAACTTAAATCCATAATAAGCCAAAGTTAGAGTCAAGTTTTGGCAGTTGTTGAATCATAAATGGTAAAATTTAGAGTGCTTTCATTTTTCCAGGGAGATAGCACTGATTCTATAGTTTCTGGTTTGAATATTGGACTAGAAGAGACCGCTAGCTAAGAACTATTCGGTGAGCTGCGTCGGTGTTTCTAATGAAACAATAGAGAATTTAAGATTCTCGTTTACGGCAAACGTGAAACGTCAGTTGACCATTAAAAAATTCTTTAAAATTAGTGAAAAGGAATCGCAAAAATCTCCAAGTAGTAGATAAACAAAAGAATACTTGTCTTTGTCGAGAAGGTTTTCAAAAGGTAAAGTAAAATGTAAGAAAACGATAACAACGTGGTCACGTTTGCCGTTTGCGGGAAGGAAAAACGAGAATCTTTAATCTGCCTAACGTTTAACGTCAGTAAGTTTTTTCATCTTTTCACGGTGTAGAATTTATCTTTTATCATTACTGAATATTTGCCTGAGCGTTTTCCTCGTATGACGTCACGGGATTGGAATGCGGACAAGCCAAACACAACGGACCAGTAATAGGCTTTCCACCATCTCGTACCGGCGCCCATAATACAGCTTGGACTGCCTGTGGTTAGACGGCAGAATTAACTTTGCTCTTGGGAATTGAATTCTTTCTCATGTAAAACGATTGTATCGTTTCTTGCCATCTAACATGGCTGCCGTAGAGTGCATTCAGTCAAACTGTTGAATAGTGTACGTCACCTAAATTAGATAAGTAAATTACTATTTTAGATGACGTCACCTAAATTTGAAACTACGAGTAAACAGCTACTGAGATCAGGGGGAGAAACGATGATACAAATGAATGTCTATTCACTCATTCTCTGGTAAAGCAACCCCCCGAATTAGCATGACCGTTATTTGGCGCGCTTTTACTATTTTAGGTGACGTCAACTAAATAGTTATCTAAGTTAGATAAATTTATCTAACTATTCAACAGTTTGACTGAATGCACTCTACGTGATGGTGCAAAGCCTTTATATGTTACAAATGTTTTGCTGTTTTCAATTCACGGAAAAACTATGGTTTTTCGACTGATATTCTTCTTTTTCATATAATCGAAGCCTTTATTTGCAATGTTTGTTCCATTTCGATCCCACAAGGCTTTGCGACATCTATTTTTAGTAACCGTGGAAAATGCTATAAAAATCGCTCTAAAACTTGCGCATGCATTTGACTCGCCCAAACACTTTCATTTAATTGTTTTATTTTATTTAATTAATAATTCCTTTTTTTTTTTTTTTTTTTTTTTTTTTTTGTAATTGAAATCTTCGATCATTTGGTGTGGCAAAATATAAACCAAAAAACAAGAGTTAAAACAAAACAAGGTAACACCACAAACAAAATACAAATGACTTTACAATGAAAAGGATTTTCAAGGGAATTGCCGTTCTCATCCTGCCATTTCCCATTTATGCATTTATATTGACTCTTGTCTAAATATCCTTCCCCGTACCAGTTCTCTAATAGTCTGCTTGGATTATTTGGACACAGGCTGACCAATCCCATGATGGAGCAATTTTGTAAGGGAAATACGTCTGTCTTATTCATAGCAAATCTTTTCCCTTCAGGGGTGGTCACAAGTTGTCCATCTTCTTCATAGTAGTGGAATATATCGATGAATCGCCAGTTGAGGAGAACACGTGACAGAGGCTCTTGAAATGAACATGGATCTTCAGTCTTCGTGGCATGCTGGGCGAAAATAAATTATTAAATGAAATTTGATTGGTTTAAATAGTGGGTACCGGGAATTAACCATTCCCACAAGCTTAACTTCGAGACGAGGTCAAGACTGGTCCTGGTTAATGACCCAAATTTAGCGTACTCATCTCTCCCTCATGGGCTGCTTGAAATGCTCAATACTCTATGTCCGTGTCTGTAGTGTGACTATTTCTATACATAGATAAGATGGATAGCAAAGCTTAAACAGACAGTACATTTATTACTGCAACTTGAAATTCAGTTTTGGAGATGAGTATTCGAGTCCAAAATCCAAGATTCTACTTTCAGAAATGGTGTGTGGCGGATGATCCCAGGGGCTGATCAACGGCGGTGTCCTGCGATGCAACAGACACCCCCCTAACGCCGTAGTTACTCTTACGCTTTTTTGAAGCAATCCGCTCGTGTATCCCCACCCCTCCTGTCTAGAATAAGTCAGGTTACATTAGAAAGAAAAAACTCAATAATATAGATACCTTTCCTCGGCATGCTTTACGCGCTCGGTCCTTCATTGACAAGTTGTGCTGCATTGCAATATCAGGAACGACAACGATATGAGCATTACCATCATTGATCTGAAAACTTCCCTTCTTGTTTGCATTTTTTTCCAGTTTCAACATATCCTCGTAGCTAATAATAATATCAATATCATGATCCCATGGTAAGATGTCGTTCACTCTCTCTAGACCAAGCAGCGTGCCCCACATTAATGCGTATCTGATGCTGTGCTTTCCAGCGAATTCAATCCAGAATTTAAGAAGTTTTTTCAGCTTATATCGATGCTTATTATCCTTGCATATTGTGTCGTTGTAAAACCTTTTCCAACGGTTCTTGAGAGATTTTCCCCAACATTCTTTCGTCCTCAGGAGACGTGTTTCTTGAATTTCAAGAGGACAGTCGAGTGTTGCAGCCAACGTTAGAGAAATTTTTACATTACGGAAAAGAAAGACGATCACCAAGGCAACTGGGACCAGAAAAACTAAAATTTTCAATTTTCTACGCATAGATGCAATCATCTAGCTACATACAGTGGTTACCACAAGGTTCAGCTATGGTCCCTTATACTTTTCTATTAGTGTGAGCCGGAGTTTTTTAAAATTCTGGTTGCAAGCAGGGAGGCCCTACTGCAAACATACAACCTCCCCAGCCAGCTTGCTTGCTGGGCTGTAGTATGACTTTATCACAAAAATCCTCCAATTTTACTTTATTTTCATACGAACAAGTTAGAATGACTGGTTTGGCCAATCGGCATTGATCATTCTTTGTATTCATTTTTTTTTTTTTTTTTTTTTTT